GAGAAACCTGATCAGTGTAACAATGTCTGATTTATTGCCTGACTAATATTTAATGTTAATAAAATGTTGCTTAGCTAACGCTAATGATGATTGATGAAAATTAAGGCTATTAAAATAGTTTTACTATATCAAAATCCTATCTAAACTTGGTTCCACTTTGGGAGCCCTGTCCGAGTGTAGAAACTGAGATTTACAAATTGTCCAAACTTTTGATTGACCTAGCCCAAGCAACCTGTTCGCAGTCAATAAACGTTGATTAGAAATTCCGATGCTACATCGCGGACTGCTCCGTAAATAACCTCTCTCTCACTACTCAGCAGTCGCAAGTGTGCACATAAGTAGTTATTTATGCGCACGCATGTGAACCCAGCCATTTAGGGGCAAAACTGGCAGACAGCAAATGATGTTGATATATGGAAAACTTGCGATGTGATTGACGTGACATTAAATGACGGGCTGACACACACAGCTTTATAGTATGACAAGCACATCACAGGCACAGACACAGTGACAGAGACAGAGACAGAGATAGAGATAGAGAGAGACAGACAGAGAGAGAGTGACAGTTTGACAACGACTTTGAGCAGCGACAATGGATGTGTTGATGATGCGAGCGTCTAATGAATGCCACAAAAATACGAGTACTCGCAGCAACGACTTGAGCTGCCACTCGAAATCGCATTAGTTATTCGCCTATTCGACTATTCGGGTATTGCGTATAAGGAGCGGCGTGCCCCGACGAGCTGAGCGAGTGGCTTTTCACTCCGAGCTGCAGAGCTTGAGCAACTGCTTGCTATGCGCCGGGCAGGTAGATCGATAGACTGGCGGCTGCTCTAATTGATGGTAGGGGCACACTCAAGTCGGGTCGAGTCGAGTCGAGTTGCGTCGAGTCGGTAGCGTTGCATTCACAGGTGATAAATTCAATGATTATCAACACGTTGCCTCGCATCACTAATTAAAAATGCATAATAAGATGTGTGGCGATGGTAATGGCTGCGGGGCGGGGGGTGGGGGGCGATGCGGCTGAAGTTCAAAGAGCATTTCATTTAATCGGTGCCAGGTCTCCATAGATTCGCTGCAATAATCATAAACAACGTCAGCGAACGAGCCAAGGAACGTCGAACTATGAATTTGTTGGACTCTTTACGGCCCGATCCGCTCTCTGCATAGAAATGAATGAATTTCGTTTTGGGAAACGTGCCCCTTTTTTTATGGTTATTTGATATACGAAAATTATCCAGCGTCGGTGTCGGACAGACAAACAGAGAGACAGACGGACAGACGGACAGACGGACAAACCACTTTGTCGGCACATTTGCCTTCCATTTTGGTTTTTGGCATCGGCTTTCGTTTTTTTTTTCTTTTTTGTGTACGTTTGGGCTGTTAACTTTGATGGGGCGTCGCAATGCTACGGTTCGTTTCAATTTGTGTGTTTATATTTTGCATATAAATGTAAATGTATATAGGTATAAATAATGTGGCTGTGGCTCTCTGCTTTATGCGCGCTCAAGATGATTAACCATAATTTCGCTTTAATATTTTGTAATTGTATAATTTTATGGCCATTTGCATTTCACTTCTCTTATTTCTCTGCCTCTCTCTCCCTCTCTCTCTCTCTCTGTCACTCTGTATGTCTCTCTCTTCAATTGTTTTCATGCATTATTCATGTGGCGTATGCGTGATATTTAATTGCCGCATAGGTGTGCCCAGGGGTGCCACGGGCAGCTCAAGTACCGCGAGCACCTCCTCAGGTGTCTGGCTGTATGTCGTGTGTGGGTGTAGAACATTTTATTTTATGCCTTTCGGAAATCCATTTACGACTTGTTCTATAATAACAGCATTGAGTTCTAACAATTTATTATGTTGTTTTTCAGTTAATTTCGCTTTGTGTTTCGTAATTGTTAGGAGCACTCAGAGATACACATATGCGCATAAGAATATCATAAATTTAATGACGGAATTGCTTTGAAAAGACAACGTAATACGAATCATATTTCAACTCTTTACTAGTA